TCATTTTTCAGTTTATCGTCTTCTTGGCCCTCATATGTAATAATTTAACTCTAGGATGGTTCTCAAAATATGGTCCCAAGATCATTAGCATCAATATCACCTGGAAACTTGCTAGAAATGCAAACTATCAGGCCCACCCAAGGCCTACTAAGTCCTAATCTCGGAGTGGGGGTCTACAATTTGTGTTTTAACAATTCTTCCAAGTACACAAAGGTTTGAGAGTCACTGCTCTAGATTATCACTTATTTTACATTCCCATAGATACCTCTTTATTTGAGGTACTCAGTGTTTCTCATGTAGACTATTGCTATGGCTTCTAAATTGGGTTCCCTACATCCTATCATTATACAGTTGAATTCTCTTCACAACTACTGTTGGGACTAATCTTTCAATAGTGCATAAAAAAAAGAAAGCATCAAGAACTCATTGCCTACTGAGTTAAGCATAAACTATTAGACTCTTGATCATGACCTCTCTGCACAGTGTCTAATCATCCTTTTCAGTCTTACCATGCACAACTAAAGCTTCATGCTTCATGCTCCATATTCTGTAAGCAAACTGAACTTACTCTGCATTGAACCACTTGAGCTTTTTATAGGCTTATCCTGAATTGTTATCTCCTCTATATTGCTAGAGTGGCTGCTAAGTTTGCTCAGCATGCACTCATTCTAAGTCCATTATCCATGATCATATCTTGTTCTACCATTAAACAGTAAGTTCCTTGAATCCATCACATCTTACCTAGCGATAGATACCACAGTAGAAACATTGTGATTTGGAATAGCACATGGGTGGTTACATAGGTAACATGGGTAACAGTTCATTCAGGTTGCTCCTTTTCCCTAATCTTTCCTTTATTAATTCCTTAAGATCCACCTCAAATATCATCTCTCTCAAATTGCTGACTCACCTCTCCATCTTGGCTTCTTAGAAGATGGAAAAGGTTAGAACTGCCAATAAGGAACAGGACTAAGTAGCCAGTTTATTTTTTTCCTTCTTATTTTCCCTTCTACAATTTTGTCTTATATCACCTTCTTTTCCTGATAATATCCCTCCTCACCACCCTGCTATGCAACCATGTTCAGATGCCATAAAGTGGAAAGAGTTGAGACACAGTGTCATTTCCCATTGATTCCATTGACTTTATCTAGGGTTCTGAAATTATCACTGATTAATTTTTATAATTCTGACCATCCTCATTAAAACTGCCATTTCTCAAACTGATTTCACATAGGTTACAAGAGATTAATCTTTCTCAAAACCATCAGGTATTACTTATTAACCTAAATAAAATGGGAAGAGGCAGTGTTTTAAGAGCCGTATTTGGAGCAAGCAGGACTTCCTAGTACTTCTTAAATTGGTCCATTTGATAATCTATAAAGTTAGTCCTTGCCATGGAAATGGCAAATATATGTATTCTTGGTCTCAGCCGATCTAGCAGAGGCCAGAATGAGAATTCTGCCATTCCTCTATTTCTTTTTCCCATCAATTTCTATTTCAACCTTCAAAATTTGGCCATTCAAGTCTAATATCTATAATAATGGAAAAAATACTATTGATATTAATGATATTTTATCATTTTATATCTATATAAAACCATATAGATTTTATAATGTATGCTTTTACATATCTTAAGTAATTTGATTCTCACCACAATCCTGAGGTTAAGATATGATAGGCATCATCTTATTACTTTTCTAGATCGAAGAGAGGCACTGAGAAGTGAAAGGTCATATCCAAAAACACACTCAAAGCTAGTTTAGTGCCTTAAAGTTAAGAACTTTTTTCTCACACTATATTGCTTCTCATTGATAGCTAAAACTACCACTGCAGAGAGTTGTATCTGATGGACAAGTTCTCAGCCAATCAAAACCAAGGATCCCAATACTCACTGCTTTCTGGACTTTGGAATTTCTTGTCATAGACAGTCCTTGCAAGAGACAGAGACTTTGTATTCTTCACCAAATAGTGACTACAGTTATTGTTAGTGAGTTTTCAGGATAAATTTTTGTTATTTTCAACTACCCTTTCTAGTTGACCTTTAAAAGGGTCTTGAAATTAGTTCTTATACTGAGTCTATGCTCTACCCATATTCATTCTCAACTTATGTTTATCAACACAGGTTTTCTCCTAGGTTATTCTCCTAAGTGAAATCTACCCATAGACTCAACCATAAGGCCGTATTCCAACCTAATCTTACCTAGTAGAAGCCCTACTGTAACAGGAACTTGACTTTTCGATCAAAGAGGCCACCCCTGAGAATTCCAGCACTTTCAGGAGCACCCTACTCCATAAGCAAACACACATACAAGTCATTACTTAAATTCCTCATGGCATCAACAAAAGATCATTGGACTGTTCAATTTTAGAACTATCAAGGACTAATCTAGTAATTAGTCCTAATTTCCTAATTTTAATTAACCTAACCCAGAAATTTTACACCATGTTCTATAGACATAACTTCTACCTCCTGAAACCCATCACAGGAAGGAGAAAGATAAAAGGGGCAAAAATCTTGCCATCCAGTAACTCTGCTGTTATCTATTTTGTACATTCTGTTCTAAAAAAATAACTAATTTGGGGAAAGGAGAGATATTTCTCCTTTTAAAGGTACTACTCTAGTTCAATTCTCCTATCTTATAAATACTAAAATGAAATTGCAGAGAAATCACATGCTCTGCCTAATGCCGACCAAGCGTTCAGTCTTCTATGTCCACTGTTCTTCCTATTATACTGTGTGATTGCTGGGACTACCTCATCATTAACTGAACATCTCCGTGAAGATGTACTAGTATTAAGCATATTCCATAATTGCAAAAAAGGTTTAAGTTTGTATTTGTAAACAGACATTTTTTAAGCAAGTATCATTTATATCTTTGTATATTCCCACACTCAGTAGCATAATGGATAGTCAATATCATTAGTTGATAAAATTAATAAATAAGCAAAATGTCAGATGTGCTTTATCTTCATGTTTTTGGTTTCATCAAGACAATAGAGCATAATTATCTGCTCAAAACTTTCAAATGGAGTCACTACTACATCTCATCATGTTTATTAATTTAGAGAAAAAGAAATACTTTTTAAAAAGTAAAACTGTGATTGTTTTGTCAATTAATATATAATTGAAAATACTGATTTGAAATCTTATGCCTTTGTAAGAAAAACAAAAGAAATGAATCAAGTGGCTTGCCTGAGGCATAATTTCTGAAAGTATACTGACAAATTTGTGCAGAATATAGAATGAAAATTCACAAACTTCACTTGGCCATGCTAAGCTTGTCAGCTTCTATGATGCAGAAAGAATTCTACTCATTTTTCAATATCTATGGGCCACAATCTTGTGACATAATTTATCTCAACCTACTGTTGAAAGAATAAAGAATAAAATACCTTGCTTTCTCTTCTTCATATTCTATAGCTTAGTGACATGAATATATAAATGGAAGAAAACAAAACTTAACAGTAAAGTATTAGCATTCATTTTTTAGGTGACTGAAATAAACTTTCCTTATTTAGATATTACATACTCTAATGTTATCTCCAGAAGTAGAAACAATTTTCTTTCTAAACAGCAGAGTAAATACTTACAAAGAACAACTATGCTCTGAATATAAAATTTCAGAGCCTGTCAGATATTTTTCAGGTGAAGGTCACTTACTTAAAACAATATATAAATGCATACAACTAACTAGTTAACTTAAATACTACAAAGAAGCAGCAAGGAAATAAGGTAAGCTAATACCTTTTTGCTTTGGGAAGTTAAGTTTTGAAGGGTTACTATGTTTCATGTGCATAAAGTATTTAAAATTCATATCGCATTTCCATATATTTTAGAAACTCCTTTAAATATGCACTATTATATATAACAATGATACATTGCAATGCCTTAGGAAATGCAGCAATTATAAATCATGCTATTATTGGGTATCCATATTTATCAAAATAATTTTTAAAACACATTCTCCTGTTTTTCCAGGAATCAATACTTACCTGACATATTACATGTTTTCTCACAAATATTTCAGTGTTTTTCTCATTTAAGATTTGTAGAAATTATCCATATATGTAAGTACATGTTTCTTTTACATACATTTTGTATTTGAAAGCATATCATATATATTGAAAAATGTGTCAAACTACATTTTATAAATTTTGGGGTAATGCTTTGCATTCTGACATTCTCCCAAAGAGTTAAAATTCTATAATGTTGCATTTATGTATTTTTGCATGCTACCTATAAGAATTTGTCTTCATTAAATGTTACACAAATATAAAAGGTTATCATGCAAAAGTTCCATATCCCTTGGGTCTTCATTAAATTGAATAAATATGATAGACATATAAAATTACAAAAATTAGGATATATAAGCTTTGCAATTATTTGTTTTTATGGCTTGAGCATGTTGTTATAACCTAATGGATTTTGTCATAGTAAGTATCAGTAGCTAGAAAGAGCAAGTTCAATATACACACAAACACACATGTGCATAGCCATTACGAAGGTACAGACACCCTAGATCATGCAGGAGATGTACAAGGCTTCATTTGAGAGATTTGTTCCATATTACACACAAGCAATATTATATTGGGTAAAATATGCCAATAATGTTTTCTTTAGAGGGATGTCTTTTGTGCTTTTTGTTGTTGTCGGCCTGCAGCATGCTATTTGTTACTTTGCTGTAGGTTAGCCCTGAAAGTACATATGTAAACCAGCGTAGAATGCAGTTCTAGAATAGCTGTGGCATGACAAAAATGACAGAGAAAGCAGGAGACAGGGAGAGAGAGAAAGAGTAAGCGAGAAAGAGTGCGGGGAGGGGACATGGAGAGAGAGAGAGCTCTCATGAGATTCAGTGGTAAAATTTCCTGAAATACATTTTGGCCTTCATTTTCTTTTTGAAAACTTTGCTGTGGGGATCGTGTGCCCCCTTCAAAGTAGTACGCAACTTTCGCAAGAGATCATTTATCACTAGTTTCCACCTTGGAGCAGGTCTTCCTACCTTTCCAGTCTTAATTCTGTGAGAAATGGCTGCAAACCGATGGTTGAGCTCTGAGATTTTGGGCTCTACTACTTTCCTGCAGTGGTTGCCGCGGTTGGCCATCAAGTTTGCTGCTTGGTCACGCGTGGAGTCCACCTTTGGGCGCATGTCATTCATTTCAGCCTTTAAACGCTATATTCCGTGAGCAAGAGACAGGGCTTGAAGTTAGTAATTACAAGAAAGTTGAGAGACAGTGAGAGAGACAGAGAAAAAGAGAGATAGCACATGCAGAGGAATATAGAGGGAGGAAAAATGCCAACTTCCATAAAATAAAGTAAGAATGTGTGTGATCTCAGGAAAATAATTGGCTGTCCTTCCTTAAGTTTGATCTATGTTTATTTAAAGCTTCTACTTAGTCCGAGAAAGGACTAAGGATGTTTTCCTGACTCTCTGTGTCACCTGTAACGTCCATAATATTTTATATTTACTTTTATTTTATCTTCAATAAATTTCATAGCAGTGAAACAACACTGATATATGCTCAAGAAGGGAAGTAACTGAAGAACAATTTTCTATTCCTTCTTGGTAATTTTGAGTTCTTTATTGATCATATTGAATGCCATGGGAGAAAATGGATCTTCTGACACATTCTGTGTCACAGAGGGATTATGGAAGGTTTTGCCTGATATAAGGGGTCAGAGAGACTAAAAGTGAAATAGCTCAGCTCCTATTATTCCAAAGACCTTAAAGGAATGTCGTCATAAGTTGATATTCCTTAACTATACATCAAGGTCAAAGGGCAAGCAAAATGAGGTACAGACAATATGGTAAACATGTTTTGGGGATAGCTTGAAATGCATCTACAGTTTTTCATTAAAAATTATAATCCTTGGAAAATATCCATTGCATAAAAACCAAAAAAAATGAATTGTATATACGGATAGAAACTATAAATTTTAAGTGAACTTTAAAGAGCAACCCACTAGACAAATAAAATTATTGAAAATTTCAGCAAAACAAAATAAGAAATCATTAATTTAAATGAGATCGGTAAAATTCAATTCTTCCTATTTAATTGTGAAAGATGCCATCAAATAGAGATAATATAGCATCAATAATATATATTCACACATTATATTTCTCATACCCTTTACACGAATCATTTTTTAAAGTAAAGATTAAATTGCCTTCCTTTGAGAAAAATGCCTTAGGATGTCCTAATAATTTGTTTTAATACAAAAAGAGAGAACAAAAAGCCATGTTTACGTACTGCTAAAAATGAAAAATCAGTTTTATATAAGCTCAGTGTTGTTACTGGTTACTAAGATTTGGACATTGTGTAGGCAAAATGTCCAGATGATCGGATTTCACATGTTTATTCAGATGGGCTGTGAATGATGCCAGAAAACTAATCTTTGTGTTAAAATACAGGAACATAGTACTACTATTAAATGGGCAGGAATTTGCAACATGACACCAAAATAAATCTTTAAATCCTTTTCTCTTCAGAGTTTAAGGTGCATGTAATTAGCTGGCAGGTGGATATGGACAGATATCCAGGTTACAGAACTTTTCAAAGTCATTAACTCTCATTTGAATTAAGAAAGTAGAGGGGGTGGAAGGAAGGAGAGAAAGAGAAAAGGGAAGGAGTGAGGAAGGGAGGGAAGGAAGATGAAAGAGAAGAAAAAGTTTTCACTCTTCTTAAGAAGTCCTTAGTATCTTTTAGGAAAAACATGATTGACATACTGTTGTGCATTTTAAAAATTACTTTTCATAATATTTTATTTGCTACCTTAAGCACGTCTTCTTTTTGCTGGGGTTTCTTTTTCTCAGATTCATCCAAAAGTGAATCAGCATGAATGATCCAGTTTGTGATGTGATCCACATTCTGGTCAAAGGTTTCCATGTGTTTCTGGTATTCCTTAATTTTATAAGACATACCATGACATATTATTGGTTAAACAATATTCTTAAAAGATTTGTCCTACTTTCTACAATTTTAAAAGACAAAAATTAGTATCATTCGAATTACTTTTGGTGTGATCTCCATATGGAATAAAGTACAAACATGGAAAATATATTAAAACATAGCTATAGATATTGAAGTAAGAGTCAGCATTTATGTAGAGTGGAGGAATTTACAAACAGGAATATTATTATTGAATGCTTATATATTTTCCTTCACATGATGGAGAGAGGTCGAAAATATTCCAGCCTCTTTTCTTACCAACAAAAGGTTTAACCATTCTTCTGCTCGGGAAGTGACAGCTATCCAGTTACTATTCAAAAGACTCAGTTTATCTTCCACCAAGGTTTCCTTCTTGCCCAAAACTGTTTTCAAGGCTTCTCCTAGCTCTGTGACACTCTTTAGGTGAATCTTCTGTTTCTCAATCTCTTTCTGAGTAGCCTGTGAAAAGGACAGTATTTGAGCTTTGATGTATATATTGTAGTCTTAAGATTTAATGCTTTTAAAATGGCTCTGCGTATGGTTACTACAGTAAGATTTTTCAAGGACTGAAATCTTCAACTATGTCTTTATGAATGATGAAAACCACACGATATACAGTGTAGTTTCCTTATTGGATATATATAAACAAACATGCATACATAAATGATTAATTTCATATTTATTTATGATTGTACATATTTCATAGATAAACATATTGTCCATCCAAATATACTTTTGTTAGTTAATCTGTAAATGTATCAGCTAAAGTCAGACTTTAGAAAACCCATCCAAAAAGTAAAAAACTGCTTTTAGAAAATTCAGCGATTATTGCACTCTTGTATTTCTACAGCAGGAAATTTTAACTTTTTGGTGCCACAAACCTGTTTGGCATCTGGTGAAACTTAAGAACACTTTCTCATAATAATGTTTTTTTAAAGCATAAAATTAAATCCACCGGCCTTTAAATAAAACCAGTACCGAAATACAATATGCAAAGTATCTTTTTAAAATTTATCAGACAGTAATACATGTTTTCTTTCCTGATGGGTGGAACTACAATGATCTCGCATCAGATCTTTAACTAGGATTAAAGTATTGATGAGAATAACTGGTGTTTTGAAGTATATACAATGACTAGAATCTGATATAAATTTATGTGTCATTTCTACTGTTGGCAAAGTCAAAGAAACTGCTGATATTACTGGGGTTCGTAGCTCACATTTATAATTGAGAAAATGCTTAATTTCAGTTAGAGGTTAATGAAAATAAAGAATACTAAAATCCACCTAAGAGAGCACTACCACTTCCCAACATTTGATTTACAAAGGATAAAGACAAGTATATTTAATATTAGAAGTTACACAGTTGATGGGAAAAGTGGTCCTAGTACTAATGGTTACTGTCAATTCTACCTACAGCCACTTTCTTATAACATGCCATGCTGACCACATGACCATCTTGCACTTCCTTACCTCTGCCCTCAATCCCACCCTTGCCCACATACAGCTGTAGGACATTCACTGGGAGGTAAGCCAGAGCCAAACAGATCTTCTTCTCAAGAAGCTGAACTAAGATATATAGAGACTGTGAAAACACACCAACTGAGAAGTCACTTGGAAATAGAACTGATGTGTTCACCACAGCAAGAAAAATACGTAGCAAGACAAAATCACTGGGGAGAAGCAGTAATAAGAAAGTAGAGAGAGACCACTTGGAAAGAGGGAAATGAGACATGCACAGAGAGTAACAGAGGTGGTCCAAGTAAAGGAGAGAGATGGTCTCTATGAGGCCAACCTATATTTCATTTCTTACTCCTAGATGCTTTCAAGGTATCTTTTCTAACTTTAAGGTATATCTAAATAGTTTTTGCAGCTGTCTTTCCTCCACACCATCAGATTCTAGTACACTCAAAATTTATATACATTTTGTTTTACCTTTGATATAAAATAAGAAGGGAGAATAAATGAGGTAAAAAGACTAAAATAATTTCTATACATAAAACTGCTTCTCCAAATCTAAGATATCCTTTTGCATTTTTTTCTCTTTCAATATGAAAAATCTGAAACTAAAGTAATTAACGCCAAATAAACTTACCAGCTACCATGCAGTTATTAGTAATGTAGGTGTCACCTGTTGCACATGGGTGAGCTTAGCAATTCATAGAAAGAATTCATATATCAATCATAAATGTTGTTGAGCTCCTACTAAATGTATCACTATTGTAGCAGGGACATAGGTGATTCTAATTAATAAAAATTATGAGAAATTCCTTCTTCGGATGAAAACAGTCTCTCTGGAGTTTGACTTGGGAGTGGTCATGGACTACATTTCAGCCCTTTCACTCCCTTCATCTGTACTGCGTAGTACACAATCTTGAGAACCATATGTGACAGCCATTATTCTAGGCACTGTGGATAAAATGATAGAGAAACAAGTCCCTATCCTTGTAAAACATATCCAACTATGACTTTGTCAAAGAAATGGAAATATATGCAAATGAGCATACCCTACTTGCTATATTTCAGACTAGTGGCTTATTACTAGAGTTGATTTATTTGCAAAGGTAACACCACACAAAGTTGAATCTTAATTTATATTTGGATCACTAATTATCTCCTAAAATGCCTTCGTAAAGGTGACATTATGTTTTAGCTTTGGTAATAAAAAGATGTTTTATACATAGACATTTGTCTTTTCCACTCCAGGCAACACAATGAAAGGCAATGGAAATTTCCAAATCTCAGAAGACATGGAAGGTGTTTTGAATTTAGGAAATATTGCTGCAAATAATTCATGAATATTTAATGTCCAGAGATTCCTCATTCACTGAGTGAGTACAATAAAATAGAAAATATAGACTAATATCTGGTACCATTTTATGTTCCTCAATTTTACAAGATAAAGTTCAAACCTGTTAAAGTTATCACCATCATAAATATGAGCTAGAAAAAAAAAAAAAATCAGTGATCATCATGGTGGTTTATAACTACTATGGCCAAAAGTGATTCACGAGAAAATTTGCACTCTCACTGTAAAAAAACCTAGAGTTGAATCTTTACATGTGGTATACAAGAAATAAACAGGTACTCGATCATTTGTATAAATGCTATTTTTGGTTAGGAAAAATATTGGGCTTATTTAATGGATTATTTATTTTTCCCCACAAAAGTATTTTAATTAAAGATGTGACTTATGTTTAAATCTTAGCCTTCAAACGATATACTGATCTTGCTTTTTGAAGATCTTACATAAATTTTAATTAGTCAATGTGCATCAGGTGCTTAATATCCACTCTGTAGTGTGCCATTCACTGCCAGAGATAAGTAGGTAGTCTTTGCATACACTGCTCTAATCTTACCTACAGTGCAGTTGTAAAGATGAAATGTAATCAAAGTTAATATCATATCAGAAAGAACATGATCTTTGGGAAAAAATAAGTCATGGCTGGAACAAGCAAGAATAGCTTCAAAAGAGAGGCAATACTTAAAACTGGAGTTTACTGTAAATGATTGGATAGTTTGGTTTGACAAAAGACAAAGTACGAAATGATGGATTAGAGAGTGTGAAGGTTGTAATCAAAAGCCACCACAAGTGGAATACAGATTACTTATTGGAAACTAAAAACATACATTTTTACGATATCAAGGAATCATTTCCCCTGGCTCTAATATTTTGCCACGATACTTGTACATGTATTGAGAACTGAATTACTGGATAGAACTACACCCACTGCTTTGGCCATTCTCTCTGTACCCTTAGTCATTCCTCACTAAGAGAGGTAAAGTTATTTCTGGGGTTGAAAATACATTTTCTCCTCTTAAATGGCATCCAATTGTCAGCACACTTGCCTTCTTCTGCTGCCTTCTGGAGTGAGGAGTAGAGAGGGTTCTGGAATGGGCAAGTTCAAATTCAATAATTAAATTGACTAAGTTATAATAGCTCTTTTAATTTTTTCAATCACGTAGTAATGTGACAGCTTCAAGGGTTGATTTTAAGGCTGAGTGAAAAGCAAACTTATGCACACTCAGTTTTATTTTGACCTATGACATGGTCATTAATCTAATCTCAGGAATTTCAACAGCAGTTTAATGTAGACTATATACCTGGCATTCAGGGTTTTTATGACATAGAAAAACATGTCTAAGAAGAGTAGAACTCAACTGAGGTATTAATTTCCATAAAATCTAACACACCTTTTTAGTCTTTCATATTTTTAATTTAGAACATGTGAAAGCTTCAAAATAATAGTCAAAATATTAAACTCTAACTTCCATGAGTTCAAAGAAATGGATTTGATGTCTACTTTTTCCTGGCCCTAGCAATTTTTAAATGCTACTCCATTTTCCTTTAAAAATAGGTAGCATAGGTTAATTTCTCCTAATAAAGACACTGAAGTGTTCATGGGAAGGATGGAAAATACATTGTGACCTATTCCTCATATCTATAAGTTAAACACTTGAGTCTAATTTTAAATGGCAGGTGAGGTTCAGGATTCAGCCATCGGCTCATCATCTCACTTCAGTGATGCGGCAGCAGGATGGGAAAACCTGTTCTGTTGGTCTCTGCTGATCATACCACCATGTGATGAAAACATTTTCTTTAATTTTATTTAAAGATAAAATGGTAAAGAAAAAAAAGTGTTGGATTAATTATTTGGTCCTACAAGAATATATTCACAGATTTCTTTGTTTTCCAACAGGAGCAGAGAAACAATCCACTTGGGCTTGACCCTCTCTCCCATTCATTTCACATTTTCAGAGGTCCAATGACTTCCACAAGTTTTCCTGGAATTTCCCAGGGACTTACAGTCTTAGGATCTAACTTTTCTATTTGATTTCTTATTATTCCTACTCCTCTCCTCCCCTTTTCTTATCTCTTAAATGCCTCCCATCTCATATAGTCTACCTTCACTAAACCCCACATTTAGTCAAACATGTGCCATAATGTTGTTTCCATATACCTTCCTCTCTTTACTAGGATGCCACACAATTCCTATTCATTTTAGCTCTTTCTTGATCTCTTGTGCAAGTTCCCTTTAATATGGATGCAAGGTTAACTAATACATCCATAAAAGATATTTTAAAAGGTTCCCTTCCCCAGTGAATGCTGCCTTTAATCAGTCTACATGAATATTATACCATTCCTGGTGATCAGCAATGGGAGAGAGTTCTTTCACGTTTGGCTACAAAATATATTCATGGGGGAAAAAATGGACAAATTACCACATTACCGCAATTCTAAGATATGCATTAGTCACATTTTGAGGTTTCTAAAATTGAAATAAAACACAATTTATATTTACATTTAAGGTGGTAGTGTTGTGATCCACAACAGCTGTAATTAAATCAGTGGTGCATCATATAATTAATATGTCTTAAATGTGATAAAATATGATATTAATTATTTTTTCAGGTGCTTACATTATTCTTGTCATTGCTAGAGGTTTAGAACATATTTTA